TATCAAGACGTTCTTGAGCACAATTACGATGAAATGTATGATTACAGTCTGTGATTATTATATCATCTGTATTTCTTAGTTCATTTTCACATATATAACATTCATTATCTGTTAATGAAGACATATTTTTTAAATCTAAAATTGAAAATTTCATAACTGAAAATTACGGTAAAAGTGACGACAACATTTAAAATAGTCTTCTTGTCCAAGTTTAAATTAACAGTACAATTATCACCTTTCTCTTGATCTCTATGAAACGAATTTTTCAATTTCAATGTTTTTTTTTCTATTAAATACTGCACAAATCAGAGGTTATTTTTCTTGTTGAGATGTTTGCATGATTAATATTGGGTAATGTTATTCGTAAAAATAAAACAATAATTCAACACTGATTGAATTTTTTTAAAAAGAAACAAAGATCGCAATCATTCCCGTTCATTCAGCATACTATATTTGATAGAATTGAAAACTTTCTCACAGATATAGATACTATTACTAGTAGACAGCTGATTTTTTTTTCTTTTAGACAAAAAAATTACTATGGAAATTTTATGTAGGTTTTTCAGAAAGAGCCTTAGTCTGAAATACTCTTATTTTCTAGGTGGTCGTAGTTAGAGATGTTAATCTATTGGCTAACATATCTAGGGTGTTTCTTTTTTCGATCGTGCTCGCACCACTACTACACCTACACTCCATCCAAGCTTTTTGCTGGTATTTAAATGTGAAAATAGCTAAAATTTTCGTCGAAAATGACTGAAAAAAAAATGTTTTCCAGATTTTTTTTCGCAGAAAGTTACTACTCCTGGCTAATCAGAAACTCTGCGCTAATCTATTCATACACAATCATTATCTTACTAGTAGAATGTGTTAACCGTTTCTTGATATTTTAAGGTTAAAGTATGACTGACTTGTATTTTACTACAGTTAACAATTATCATTAATTATAGACATGTTATATTGAAAATTATTGGTTTTTTAGCGATCAGCTCTCGATGCAACAGCATTCATCTAGAAATAATTAGTTTGTATTCAAAGGACATATTGCTGTGCTAAATAGAAAGATGAAAAACAAAGAAACAACGTGTTCAATTGATGGGAATTTATTATCAACGTTAAATTATACTAGAAGAGAGTATTTTTTTTCAATATCTTGGGACTCGGAGGCAGTCAGTCATTTGTGGTCTTCGATATTACAAAGAGAATTCTGAAAAAAAAATACACTAATGTCAAAATTGAATTGATCAGTAATTCATTTGTTAGTTGGCTTTTCATTTTAACTTAGAATAATGTTATTTAATTAGAAAAATATATTTTATTTCGATCTGTACATGTTTTATTCTGTCAATTTATTCCATTCAAAAGTATTACATATTTTCCTAAGGCTCTCGATCTTGACCAATTTATGTTAAACTGTAACAAAACAAGCTAATAGAGAGGTAATTGACTTCATTGGATGCAGTAGAGATGTTTATTTTCTGTTTTGTTCTTATGAGGGAACCACTCGAGGTGCTAAAAAGCTTTTCGACTGAGTGTATGATAGTTAGATAGGCATGGCTAAGGGTGATATATCCTAAGATGGTTCGTGCACCAGTTGCTTCTAGCAAGAATTATGAATTTTTCAAGTTACTTAGAGCATACGAAAAGTAGTGTCATCATTATCTTATTTCCATATGGAAAGCTTGAACAAAAGTTTCTTTTTTTCTATAATGACAGAGAAAATAACGCTCGATTTTTCTGTACTATTTGATCACTATTGAACTAATATTGTAATAATAAAATTACGATAAGAATCATATTAGTACAACCATTACATTTTACAGAAAAATGATTCTTATCGTAATTTTACTATTACCATATTAGTTCAATAGTGATCAAATAGTACAGAAAAATCGAGCGTTATTTTCTCTGTCATTATAGAAAAAGAGAAAATTTTGTTCAAGCTTTCCACATGGAAATAGGATAATGATTACACTACTTTTAGTATGCTTTAAGTAACTTGAAAAATTCATAACTCTTGCTACAAGCAATTTATGCATGAATCACCTTAGGATATATCACCTCTAGCCATGTCCTACCTAACCATTATACTTCCAATCAAAAAGCTTTTTAACACTTCGAATGGTTCCTTCGTTAGATAAATAGATGCATTATTAGAGAATCTAATTTCGACAAAAAGAATTTTTCTCTAGCGTCTCTCGTCCTATCGAAAACCATAAATGACTATCTACTTCTACTCTTAATAGTAAAATATAACTAAGCATTGCTATGTTTTTTTTAAAGATGAAAACAAAAATATGTTCAACTTGAAAGATGAGAATACTTCATTCGATGAGTACTAGTTTGATCATGACATTGAATACCCCATTTGCAACGAATACGAGAATCATTCTGTTGTTGAACAATATCTGGATGAGAATATTGATCACAGTGTTTAGAATTTGAAATGTCTCGACAGTTGGATCCCCACTTGCAAGGTATTCGTTGATTACGATCATGACTCGGTTGTTGTTGTTGTTGTGATGATGAAGCTAAAAGAGAAGTTTCTTATGAAAAATCTATTTTGAAGAGAGTGCAAATATATTATAATTCTATTTACCTTTTATTAGTTCCATAACACGTTCACCATGTGAATATTTTATACGATGTTGATCTGATTGATCACGACATTTTTCTTGATCACGACAAGGTATAAGAAAATCAGGCCAACCTGTATGACGATATTGACCTCGATGAATTGGATTACATAAGTCTTTACAGTTTCTATCAAAATTACATCGAGGTACTTGATGAATTTCATGTGTTAGATGAGGTTCTGGATCTCGACATAATTCAGAAAAACGACATGGATGTGAATATTTTGAATTATGAGTTGATCCTTCTTCGGAATATTGAATAAGACAATAAATACTATCAGAACATGGTGTTAATGATGAGTTGAAGCCACCACTGAAAAAATCCTTTACTTTATCTTTTGCTTGAATGGCTTTATCTATTACTTGACTGACAAAGCCAGATGACTTGTTATCTTTAGTATCGGATGTATCAAATGATGGTACATTATAATTAGTGTCATCTTGAATATCAGATGATATTTTTGTCGTAGATGAAGATGAAAATTTCTCAAAATTTTTATCGAAAGTTGGATGTAAATCAGCTTGTTTCTCAAAAGTAACAAACAAATTTCGAATAGGTACTGTACGAGTACCAGCACTAACATGAATATAATTTAATTGATTCAAATTAAGATTTGATTTTGAAAATTTCCAAGAAATTTGTTCATGATTATAAATTGAATTTGGACCTGCTTGACATAAAATAACTTTTCCTGTTGAACGTTGAATTTCAAGACAAAATGTC